ACTAATCGATCCAAAAGCAGACACCCCTCAATGGAGAACAGCACCTCCTACAGCTCACCGAATGTAAAACAGAGTTCATCAAACATTCACAATGGAGCCCTTTCTTTCTGCAAATGTCAACTGCAGACAAAACAAGCAACTGGTTATTTGATAGCATGGACTGATAATGATCTCACATTGGACATACAGACCATGTTACTGTTGAACAGTATCCATAATACTGCTCCCTAGTCATTTATAAACAATGTTTGTGAAAGAGATATTTTTATTCTATGAGAATGTATGAGGAGTGTTAACTGCTATGGCAGTCCTGCCATCTGTGATGCCTTCCAGATGTCTTGCACTACAAATCCTGCCCTCCACAGCCAGAAAGGCCAATGATCAGGGATGATGGGAGCTGTAATTTCAAACCTCTGGAGGTTTCAGTGTAGGAAAGGCTTTATTATGACAACTTTCATGTCTTTGTCTGACTTGAAGTTATTCAAGAGACAGGAAGGATTCTACCACCTGTCTTTGCAGTGCGCTATTATGCAGCTTTGCTCAAAAGTAAGCCCTGCTAAATCTTACTCCAAAAATAGTGTGCATAGGATTGCCGTTTCAGTTTGACTTGAACAAACTTCTCATGGTTCCTTCGGGCCTGTTCCAGGAAAGTCATCATAAGCACTTTACTGAAGTATAATGTTAAAGGAGCTAAAGATAGAATACATTACTGCTGAAAGAAGGAAGGCTCTTAAAATTTGCAAATTAAATTATTTTCATGAGCACTCCAGTTTTAAACAGTGCCCTCCAGAATAATAATTCAACTTTTAACGTGACATTTTGAGGTTTATTGCAACTCATTCATTTTTGTTGTGCACCTGATCTAACAGTTCCATATTTGAGTTAATTGTATTCCTTGAAATCTATCCACACAATGGCCAGAATCAAAAGGTTTATTGTTTGCATCATATTCCAGTCTCCAGGAAGACAACAGTGCTAGTCAGTCCTGGTTAGGGTGCAACTGAAATACAGCATCTGTTTTTAATCACTGCATATTGAAAAGGCTCTACAAACTTGAGAATTTTCAGAGCTGGTTCAGTTATATGTCAGGACCATGATGACTGTTTGCTTGCCACTCATTCTGCATTGTTTTAGATCAAGTTCCAAGCAAAGGTGAAACAAGACATCTAAACCCGTGACAGTGGTCATATCTTACAAATGTGAATCAGTTTTAGTCCAGGCTTTACTAGGTATGGGTTTCCTGCAAAGAATCCTGGGAATTTTAGTCTGACAAGAGTATTAAGCATGCTACTGAGGACTCCTAGTCCTTATTTGTGGAGAAGGAATGACTTAGGTCAGTTTAAAGTGATATGCCCGTAGTTCCTCTGTGAGGCAATTACTGACCTACAGCCACAAATGTTTATTACTCTGCTTCTACAGGCAGTTGCAATTAGTCTAATTCCAGGATGCTTTTGATGGATTCCTCTCAGCAATCCTAACTGTTGTTAGGAGACTCCTTTTGGAAATTCATTATAAGAGCAACTCCTTTGCAGGGGAGGTACAGAGGGAAGTATATTCATGGTCCACCTCCCCATTCCTCCACACTCCTATAATTTGCAAGACAGCAGATTTTTCATTGCAAGACTGAAAGTCTGACGACAGTGGCCCCAAGCACACTTCCCTCTAAGGAAGCAATTAAACTCTGCGAAAGAGGGACAGTTTCTAAATTGCAGTGGGCAGCAGGCATCACAGGCTGCTGAAATTGGCACTTGGTTGCTGAAGTTTGGCGTGGAAAAATGGCAGAAGAGGAGATGGTTCTTTCAAAAAAGGTCCTTGCTCCCCAGACACTTACTTTTCAAGAAAAAAACTGTTTCTTTGCTGAAACTGCAGAGCTAAAGCTCATTTGCAGTTCCTGAGACATGGCCCCATAGTGGGTGCACATGTGTGGAACTGGCCTGAAAACTGCCCCATTCTAAATGCACTGAGCACATAAGCCATGCTAAGCGAACTGTGGGGAGACTGAAGCACTGCAGAGAAGCATCAGGCTAAGCCATCAGCTGCTCAGCATTTTCGGTGACTGACCCCCACACTCGGCTCTAACTGCATGCTTAGGATGGGATGGAATAATGGCTAAAAGATATTAGGATGTGACATCTTTGTTGACAGCTGTTTAGTTGGCTCTGAAAAGTGAACTTCATTATATGGGAAAACCAGTGAATTGACACCGGAGAGGTCTCTGGGGTTGATTGACAACAGCCTTTTCCAATTTTGTGTCACAGAATCATCCCGTTGGAAGGGGCTTAGAAGGTCATCTGAGCCAACCCCCTGCTCAGTGCAGGACTCAAGTCTCTCCTCCAAATACTGACTGGGCCTGATTCTGCTTTGCTTCTGAGATGAGGCAAGGTTGAGTACTTTGGGCTATATGGAAGTTTAAAATTCCAAAACACCTAGAAAGAAGAAATGAGCTTGGAAGATGTAACCAGGAGATGATTGTTATATGATAGTGAGTTTTTCTCACTCACTAGCTATGTTGTTCCTATGTGAATTATAATTATTTCTACATTTGTATCTATAGATCTAAATTAACATGTGCACAGTGAATATACATTTGTGTCCTCTGTTTAGATCCATGTCTTCTAACCCCCCCCCCCCCTCCCCAGCCCCACTCCTACCTCAAAGGCTGTCAGGATAACATGGAAAAGAAGATTGTCTATGTCATCTTGGATTCCTTGGAGGAAAAGGCAGATATAAATCTAACAAATACATGGACACATCCTAAATAGGGTTCTGTTTCCTCCATGAAATGGATCTGCCTTGCTTCGACATCCTGTCATACATACCAGTGGGCACCTTTAATGTCTATCATCACTCAGCAGCTGGATTTTGGAAAAAATAACAATCCCACAAGTGCCAGAAAATGAGTGGGCTAATTAAAGACGCCAAAGGATTAACTAAAGGTATGTTGGAGGGTGGGATCTGGACAACATGAATCTTGCAATACGAAGGTGAGAAAGAGCACCCTCCCCTAATTCCTTGGGTTCTACAATAACCAGTGCCCTGAATCCCCAGATGTGACAGGGTTTGTTATTGTAGCTAATATTAACAATTACCCAGCAGAAGAAAGATTTATTGTGCTACTTTTGTGTTCAGTGGCGCCAGACTTATGTTCTAAATCCAGAAACAAGATAAAATTTCTTTCTGCAGAGGTGCCTGAGAAAAGGTGGAGCTATGAGTCACACTGGAGTCAGCTTACTGTGCTAATGCCAGGTAAATATGCATTCAGTACAAAACTTGTCCTCTGACAGGTGATGAAACAGGCTTTGGAATAACTGGAGGGTAAAAGGGAGTTCTCACCTCTGTTTTTCCTCTAAATACTAATTTATCTGTGTACTTGTCCAGCCTAGGAACTAAGAAAATAATAAAAATAATTTATTCATTTTATTTCTATACCTAACTATACCTGAAGCTCCCTGGGTGGTTCAAGACAATGCATTAAAAACCTCAATAAAATAGACATCTCATAAAAACGAAGGTAAAGACATTATGTGCTTTGTGGATGGACAAGACTGGCATGATGGGAATCTGGGAATTTTTCTTCAGGCTGAGTTTAATCTGAGTTGGACAAGAAGGGACTGCTCCACTGGTAAAGCTTGTCTTTTCCTTGAGGTGGGCTTCTCCAAGCTTACCTTTGAAGAACTTTATCAGCATCCCTAATACTCACCTTTAGCTCCAGCAGAGGAAGGAAGGCACTTCTGCTGGCTGGAGGGGATAGAGTAACACAAAATAGCAGGCCTAACACTACCCGCAGCCCTTTTTGGCCTTTGAACAAGCTCAGCAGTGGTCTAGCTACAAACTTCCTAGGAAATCAGGTGGGTCTCAGAGAAACTGTCCTGTTGCGCATTTTCTCTCAGCTGGAAATGTTCTTACTCCCTGAGAGCTTTGTGAAGGTGGACTGGAATGAGAAAAAGACACTTGGGATCCAGAAAGGGAGCACATGATTAAAACTGGCCCTTTATCCAAGGTCTTCATTTGAAAGTAGAGTTCAAATGTGACCCCTGCAATGTTCAGTTTGCGAAGTTTGAAAAGCCTGTCATGATGTGAAACCTACATTATGTGAACCCTCTTATGCATCTTCAGTCATTGACATCTTGTTAACTTTCACAACTGAAGGGACCCTCTGCAAGAAAGGGGAACACACAGGAAGGCCAACTCCAATTACGGCAACAAAACACTCATCACTTTAATTTCTGACTTAATTTTGATGAAAGGACTTAATGAAGATATTTTGTATTACTGGGAAATCTAGAGATCAACAGCCCTGGGAGGCCTCTTCATATGTGACCCAAAATCTTTTCATGTTTCCTGTAAATTGACTGACAAGAGATACTCCTGCAGGAACCTTAGCTTGCAAAAGAATGTCTAAATTATATTACACTGAAAGGTTAGTGCACAAGGCCCCACTTTTTATCCAGAATTCCTTCTAGATTGTAGAAATAATACAACCTGCATTAGAAGACAACGAAAGGTTAATTCTCTTATCATAACAGTTTTCCTAAAGAGTAAAATCACGCATAAATAACTATCCAAAGGGGGAAAATATAATCAGGCAGGTCCTGGCAAGAGTTCAGACAAGTTTTTTACTAGAGCTATATTTTTCATCTCTTATCCCCCCATCCACGGATCAGCAATACCTGTATCTAGGAACATTGTCTCAAATGCCAATTATTCATATCTTTAGAATTTTTGAGGAGTAGAAGTCTGTTGTTCCACAAAAAACTTCTAAAAAGCTATCCTTTGAATTACAGGGAAAACTGAAGACTTGACTGTTCTGTGACAGCTAGAGTAGCAACAGAATCGAATAATGAATGACTGTTTTCTACAAAAGGGTATCTTTGAAAAATTGGACAATACATTTTGGAGTCAATTTCTAGTTCAGTTTTGTTTATTCTGCTTAAGTTTTTTTTTAAAGAGCATTGCCCTGGAAATAGATCAGTAAGACAAACTAGTCTTGGAAGGTGAAATATGTGAATGTCCTCATGGGTTTATTAGAGCCCATTAAGTGTTTGCTTTTAAAACAGCACAATGGAAATAATTCATGTAATTGCACATTAATACAGTGTCAGAATACACACAGACTTTCTAAACTCAACAGAAATATACTGCTGCATATCGGATAGATGATGCTTAATTAGATGGCAATAGCCTCGATGAGATGACACCCAGCATTTTAAAGCTTCACATTTCTATTCTGCAAAACAAACTCTGTGTCAAATGGTAAAAGCAGCGTTCCTTTCCTGCAAAGCCACTGTGGAAAGACAATGATGATCTGTGTTGCGCTTAGGGTGAAAGGGTGTGATCCCTTTAAAAGTGTTCCCGCAGTCACTTCAGTTTTCCAGCTCATATTTGTGGAGAGGGAACTGTCAGCAGCCCGGTTGGCTTGATTTTGCTTATTCCTCCATCCAGAATGCAAACTCTGGGGTATTTGATTTTCACGAGGTGTGCTGCAAACTGAAGCAGAAAGAGTCTATATCAGAATGCTGAATGCATATTGTTTTAATGTGGGCAAACACACTTTTCGGTCTGCATTCCCAAATCAGGCACTAGCTTTTTGCCCTGAATGTGAGCCAGTCCCTTCCCTCAGCTGCCAAAACTCAAGACAATCCTTTGAAATGGAGTTATTTTATTGGCTACAGTTAACAGAACAGTTAAACTCCATAGTGTATCAAGTCTAAATAACCTTTTACTGAAGCTGGAAGGAGGAGCCCCCCCCTTGTGTAAAAATGACAGAGCCCCTCCAGCTGAGCAGCATTCCTGATGCCTCCTTATCAGGGCAAGGACTGAGCCTCACAGATGCTGCCCTCTGCTCCTGGAAAGCCTTCTGTCTCTTCCGAAGCAGGATGACTCTCACACTCAGTGTGAGAAAACTTCACTAAGCCACCTTGAAGAAGCATCAAGGGGTTGGACTCCCCTTCCGCCTCCTCCTCAGAACCTGGCCCACTCCATAGCCTGCCCTTTTGGGCAACAACTGTTAGGTAGCTTTCCTGGCGCTCCCCACCTTCTGTCCATTTTAAAATGTTGAAAAGCCTCCATGTCAGTAAGCACTTTAAGGTACAATAATATTGAGGTGGGGGGGAGGGTATTTTTGGTCCCACCCCCTTTTGTTCTGTCCATCACTGGAATACATTCCTAAGCAACTAAGGATGGAAGTAACATAAAGAGTGTAACAGACTAATAGTCCAAAGATGGCTTTGCAGTGGCAAATTTGTTGTTGGCTAAATTTGTTCTAGCAACAGAAAAAGCAATAAAAAGATTATTAGATGGTAGGAAAATGTTGTTAGATACCTATGTTAATCTTGCCTTATTTCATTATTTTAAGGTTGCTCCAAAAGAAATTCCAACCCTTGTGGTAGATCGCGAGCTCCCTTTTGCAGAGGGAAGGGACCCACAGCCCAGAGGCAGACTGCTTGCAGTTGTTCCAGGAATGAGACTTGGAGAACAACTGCCAGCCCAGAGACAATCCTGGGTAAATAGTTTAGTCTGATATAAAGCCGTTTCCTAACTTCTCCTTATGAAGCCTCTTACTTTGACAGAACATGCTCACTGAATCTTAGCCTCTCTGTTTTTCCTTGGCAACCAGCAACAGCCGAATATAATTGTCTCAACAGTGATGTACACAAGCAGGTCACCAGGTGAGTTTTGTTTTGTTTTGAATTCTCCATGTGTTGGTGCATCTGCTTGTTTCAACTCTGATTAGGACATGTTTCATGTTTCAGAAGGAAGGGGAAGGAAGAAATATCCTGTGCGGAGTGTTACTGCCCAACTCCAGCTTACCATATGGAAAAAGCAGTCCCTTGGAACAAAATGACTTCCTTATGACAGCTGTTTCAGGTATGCATCCAAACATGTCCCTGGGCTAAGGGCAGAGTGCTTTTTTCTGCATCAAGTGTCCTGCATGGAAGATACATGGGGATTTTCCCACAGCAACTGAGATTTCTTCTAATTCTCACATTTCATACTGAGTCTCATAACTTCCAATTACTTATTAAAGTGGTAGCAAAACAAGAATCTTCTCTATCTATTACAGATGTCAAGAAAATATATGTTAGCATTATCCTGACAATTGTGGAGACTGAACAGAACCTCCAATGGCTCACAAGGCTATGAGATCATCGTTTACATTCCCTGTCATTTCTAATCAAATTAAAGTTTATTCTTTTGGATTTTCACTCTTTCCTACTTCTGTTGTTACTTCTGCTGCCACCTATCAGGAACCCAGATCCTGTGAAATATGTAAGCTGAAGCTGTTAAGATGGGAAGATTATGTGAGCTCTGTTTTTCCAGCTCCTGTTACTGAGCTGAAGTCTCACTATATCTCCTGTTGCCTTTACTGATCAATCTGCTACAACTTTTTTACAGGCCACAGTCTGTCCTTCCACAGTTTAGGGCCACCACAAGGAAGGCCATGTTCCTAGTCACCAGTCATAGTCATGGAGAATTGTCTCCAAAAAGTGGGAGTGCTACACAATGGACCACATGCAACTTCAGTCACGCTGTTGGAAGTTGTAGCAGTGACAAACAGACAAACTAACATGCTGCCACATTTCAGCAGCAAATTACTTTGGAGGAGCAGAACAGGCATATGTTGTTCTTCTAAAGAGTACAGCCTGCAAAGGGCAGCATGGGGAGGGGGGGAGGAATCTGGGGTGAACATGGCCTCCAAATATCCCACCCCAGAGCAGATGCTCCTTTAAGGACTTGTGCATGCTGCGGCACTTATTCACACTCATTAAGATGGATTTTAATTATCTGCTTCTTGTGTGAGAAAACCAAGTGGCTGACTTCATTTGTTGCCAGCCACAGTTGAAATATATCTAGCTATGGCCTTTCAGTGGTGCAAGATAATCGTGTGCTGTAAAATTTAACATGTGAAATCACCTTGCAAATGTCTAAGTGTCTAAAAGTAATAAATACAAAACTTGGAAGTTTCATTCTCAAGTAAAGCAACTAAAAGCAGGATCTTTGCTGACAAAAGAACTCCATTAAAGAATTGAAATCCAAAATAGGAACCAGACAAACAGAGCTATTCTTATTCTCTTGCATGCACTCAGGTGGAACTAATGGTTTGTATGTCATAACGGGGAATTTCTTCACTTCCTCGGTTTTTATGTTAGGCTTCAACTGGGTGTGGGGTTTTACTGCATGATCTAAGTATACTGTATACCTGTACAGACAGGGCTACCGTTGATTGCAAACGCAGAGTATTTCATGCCACTGCTATTAAACAAATTGCAATCTTGGCATCTCTCTCTCTCTGATCAGGCAGGAGCAAAATCAATACAAGGTAAGGAGGGGAAGACTTACTGCTAATCCAATGAACCAAGAATCAGCTGTGGGAGAATATTATTATTATTATTATTATTATTATTATTATTATTATTATTATTATTATTATTATAACATTTCTATGCCGCCCCTTGCCGAAACCTCGGGGCGGCTTACAACATGATAAAATACATTGAAATACAATAGTACATAATAAATTACCATTAAATATAAAAATACAAAAAAATACATTGCAAAAACATGAACAGGGGAAACATATGGTTTGTCCTTTCTGCCCTTTGGAACAGTTTTTGGACTTTGGGAAGTTCATGTCTTGCTTTGACTATTGCAACCTTCTTTTTCATTACCTCTGTTGTCCCAAGTCCAGAACAGTTCAACATTCAACATTCCCATTGTTCTCGTTGACATATCTTTTAAAATCTCTACACAGACTTCTTGTTCCTTCTTGGATTCTTGTCCAAAAACTTATTTGGACCTTTGAATGAAAGGGCCATGGAGGTGACTTTGGAGGGCCTTGAAGAATCACAGCCTTAATCCTCTGGGGAGAGGACTCCACAGACTCAGTGGGAGAGGCTTCCTTATCCAAGGTCTCCCTGTCTGTAGAGTGACAATGACCATGCAAATACTACTAATGGATAAAGTCTCTTCTGGTAGATAAGGCAGGCTTCATACCTTCCCTAGAAAGATTTCTTTCCCTCCTTCACATTCAGACCCAACAGACACTTCAGCATAGTCTGGTAGCTGGGAGGGGACGTTCCCACTGAGATACTTGGACTGGTTCATTGCTCTCTGGGGCATGGAGTGATGGCTGCCTGCTAGATCCCTTCTCCTGTACTTAGGTTTTTTTAAATTTCTGCAGGTCCCTTCTCCCCCTCAGGTGGAAAGCCAGAAGAAGTAGAAGGACTACTGTGATCCTATCTTAAAGCCTGAGCTTTCCTGGTGTCTTTTTGTTTTCTTTTTATGGGATTTATGTTGCCCCCATGCTCCCCCAATGGACTGGAAGCAACTGAGCCTTTAAATATGGCACCAAGTCCTGCATCTCATGCTTCATCTAAGTCAAGAAATTGGGAGGCTGGTCCCCACCCAAATCTGGCACTAAGGTGGGTAAGGTAGTTGGACTGACATCGTAGGACACAGGTAGTAGGACACTGTGAGGCACATCAGTGGGTCTGGTGACTGCTATGAGAAAGGCCTCTCCTTATTCAGTCCTCCACTGTAGCCAACTTGCCCTCAAACCCTGTCTAACCAGAAGGAAAGGGTGGCGTAGGAGAAGAACTGGAAAGAGAGGACAACTAAAAATAACAGAATAACATAAATAAAAGGAAACTCCTATCTAGCTGAACTTACGGAACTCATTGTGAGCCCTATTAAACTGAAGCTAGGCAGGGCCGGTCTACAAAGGTGAGGTAGGGCTGTAGGACTGGACCTTGCCTGTCAGCTGGTGGGAAGGGCTACAATGAAGGTCATGGGACACTCTCTAGAGGAACAAGGAAAACTGGTTATTTTTTGCAAAACTGTGGCAGCAATCAAGAGCCATTTTAATGCGGATGAAGAGTGTGTGGATAGATCTGCAGCCTTTGAGATCTAATAATCTTCTTCATGTAAAATACCAAAATAATTCTGCTCCATACTTGACTACATATTTTATATCTTTGGGTTCCATTTATTCAAAGCGAAAGGGAATGTGCTGCAGGATTTGTTTCTCTTTCCAGCTGATAAATCTTGTGCTGGGCTGTTCTTTTGTAATGTTGAAGTAATCACGATGTAGGCTTTCACTGCAGCGTTGACAAATGACCCTTTTAAACCTCCTGATGGGATGGTGGGGCCATTACGTCCATTGTGCTGGGAGACCCATAGCAACAAGGCTGGAAAGGATCTGTGACAACTGGTAAAATATGAGAGGGACGAGAGAGAAGTAAGGCAGATGAAGAGCAGTGCATTTGCTAGCTGGGTGGTCTGGAGCAGAGAAAAGAGATACCACTGGCCTGAATAGAGAAATGAGTAGAATATGAAATGTGACTTAGAAATAGGAGGTCTTGGGAATAAAATGATGGGGAGGAGTGGAAAACAAACAAAACTGAAGTAAGAGCATGGATGTACCAGAGGGAACAACAGATGTAATTCAATGGGTTGAGGGGGAATCACCATCAGTAAAAAGGAAAAGA